GGAAGGGAAGGGAAGGGAAGGGAAGGGAAGGAAAAAGGAAAAAGTTTAGAAATCCAGACCAAGCCATTTCAGTTTTTTCAAGGTGTGTGTATATAGGTATACACAACATATACGTACATGTACATTCTGCTAGTTGTTTCTATTAATTCTTCCACAAAAAAAAAAAAAAAAGAAAAAAAGAGAAAAAGTCCTCAGGGATAGCTGCATTCCAATCTACAGGGAACTCCAACAGTGTCATTGATCATGGCTGGTATCAGTCCCAGGGTTCTTCTTGCACCTTGTTGGCATAAAAACTTTCTGCCCCTCCCAAAGCCCAGGAGTAGCTGCAATGTCAAAGCCTGCTGATTCCAGGGCTTTAGCCAGTGTCAGGTTTGTTTTCAGTGACACCAGTAGATGTTTCCCCAGCTCTAAACTAGAATTTAAAAATCCCAGGAATTGAGCATTAATAAATGGCAGCTCTTCCACTTGGAGGACAAGCATCACCCACCCTACCAAGGGAGAGAAATGGAAAAAACTGGTTCTTTCTTTTTTCTTGTCTCCAGACTGCTGTGGCTCAGTGCTGGAGTGTTAACTTTGAAGTGCTGTGAGGATCCACTGGATTTTGGCAGCAATCCTTGGGATGTATTGGCAGCTTCACTCTACCCTCGTGGTATTTGACAGGGAGCTCTGCATGGTTTCAAACCAGCTCCAGAACTGGACACAGCATCCTGGACACCACATTTGGAGGCTGGAAGTGATGCAAAAAAGAGAGGGAAATATTGATAGTATTTGATTAATCAGCTGGTCAAGGTGGCAGCACAGGGTCTTTGTTGTGCCTTTTAATGTTGTTGCTTCCTCGTGTCACAACAAGGGTGTCGCTGTGTTCTGCTGAGTCCTTCCTTGCTTGGGGCCAGTCATTTATCAACAGAGATTTCCATCTTGGCCTAATAATTCATCTCTTAGTGCAGCCCTCACTGCTCCTTTGTTTCCTCTTATCACAGCCTAATTATTTGGTGAAGGAGAGTTTCTGCCTATCCTGGGGCCAGTCAAGGAAACCTGAGTGCCAGGTGGGAGAATGAGAGTGGCAGAGGTTCCCAGGGCTCAGACCCAGGTTCTTCTGTGGCAGGGGAGGTTGGAAGAGCCCAGTGGGTCCAAATTAAACAAAAAGTCTCTTTTTTTCCTGGCTTAACCTTCCCTTTGTGCATTTGTCACAGCCAAATGCTCCCACGTACATCACACCCACACATCTCCCACCACTTTCTCACACAGACACGCTCACATTCTCACACATTCTGCAAAGAAATCCTGTAAATTCAGGGGTTTAGTTTGTTTTTTGGTTTTTTTTTGTGTTTGGTTTGGTGGGTTTTTGGGTTTTTTCCTGTTTGCTTTTTTGGGAGTAGTTTCTCGGTTTTTGAGGGTTTTGTTTTGTTTTTTTGGTTTTTTGTTTTGTTTCTGTTTTGGGGAAATTTTTGGGGTTTTTTTGGGTTGTTTCCTTTCTGTTTCTGTTTTTTTTTTGGGGTTTTTTTGGGTTTTTTTGTGGGGTTTTTTGGTTTGTTTCTTGTTTTTTTCTCCCTGGAAAACCTGGAACAAAAAGATAATAAAAATCTGTATTCATACATACGTGGCCAGTGCTGGGATGCTAGAAAGGGGAATTAGTGGATGGATGAACAGATAGTAATCACAGTAGCATAATTAATAATAATGACAGAAAGGCATCCTGCTCCTATTAGGAGTACATGCATAGCTTTAATCAGCTCTCTCCACCATCCAAGAGGAGACTTGAACTAAATCAATTGCTGATTTCTATCAGAAGGGTTGTTCTGACCACATTGAAAGAGGGATCTCCTTGGTTCTTTATTTAAAAAAAAAAAGGAGAAATTATGAAGTTATTGTTAATTGATTTATCTATATCTAAACCAGGATGATTTCTTTGTTTTATTCAATGACTCCAGTGCAGCTCTGAGGGTGTTTCTGGGAGTTTCCCAGTTTGCTTTCCTCCTTTGCTCCTCAATCTGTTGCCTCTAAAACTCAGAACAAAGCTCAGAGATGGCCCTGGACAGCCAGGCTGGGGAGACAACCATTATGGAGAGCAGCAGGGCAGCATTGCCTGCTGCCTTTGTACCACACTCATTTTATTTTACATTTTGGAATCACCTGGAGCATGTAGGTGCGCTATAAAATCAAACTCCCTCTCAGTCCATCTTGCAGCCATTGCCTGGCTCTGAAAGCAGCAATAAATTCAGCTGGGCTGGTTATGGCCACTCATAGCCCTTCAGAACTGCTCTTTAAAGAGAAGTTCTAAAATCTCATTGCTTTATTAAGCATTTCATGCATTTGAATTGTCAGTTGATGTATCACATGCAAAAGAGACAGCGACTAGAATAATAACCCTTCCCAGCATTTCATTTTGAAGCTCCATTTACCTGAGTCTGGCTGCTTCCAATAAATATTTCACAACATGTTTCTCCTCCACAAGTGCACTTACAACTTATGAAGCAAACACAAATGTTTTAATTCTGACAAAATGAGCATTTTTTCATGCACCAGCCTCGATTCAGCACATAGTTCTGTGGCTAAATGGCTTTCTGATTATCGTGTCCCAGGATATTACTTCAACTGAAGTGATATGAAATGTCATTAAAAAGTAATGTTCCTCTGCTTTGACAATCATATTAGTAAACACTGGAGGCTCTGCAGGTTATATGTCAGGCAGGCCGACACTAATGGGTTTATTAACATATACAGCAGCACTTTGTCAAACCTCCTTGTTAATCTAAATTTGCAGGTGACACAAAGAAAGTGAGCAGGGAGAAAGAAGGTGTTTAAGGGCTGTTTAAAGGAGCCAGGATACCCTGAGTAAAGTTAGTCATTCCCAGGGCTGCTTCCCTGGATTCCAGCAGGCCTTGCTCCCAGGGGAAAGTCCTCTCTGATCTGATGGGGAGCACAGACACCCTATCACTGTGATATTTTATGAAAAAATCCCTTCACCAGGATTTCTTTTCCAGGGAAGCTTCAGCTTCTCCATGTTTTGGTGCTTTGGAATGTGATTTGGAGAATTGTTTACCCAGCATGTGAATTATTTTTAATTAATGACCAATCACAGCCAACTGGGTCAGGCTCTCTGGTCAGTCACAGGTTTTCATTATTCATTCTTGTTTAGCCTTCTGAGATATCCTTTCTCTTTCTTTAGTGTAGTTTTAGTATATAATTTCTTATGATAGGATACGATAGGATACGATACGATATGATACAATATGATATGATATGATATGATATGATATGATATGATATAATATAATATAATATAATATAATATAATATAATATAATATAATATAATATAATTTATATATATATATTATTATATTCCACTGTCACTTTTAAAAATCTATATATATTAAAGTCAAAAATTAAATATACTCTTTTACCCTTGAAAGAGCTGCATGTCCACATCGTGTTATTTCGTGTCCTATAGTGACATTCACCCTTTGTGCTGCTTCAGCACAGGTGGAGCAGAGAATCTGGGCAGGAGCTTCATCCTAATGATCATCACTCCTCCTGCTCCTCTTCCTCCAGCCTGCAACCTCCCCCTGCACCCACCTTCCCTCTGTTCCTCCTCCCATGGCTGCAGAAATGCACCATTGTGCCACTGTGACAAGGCACCTGTGACACAGAAATGGGTGCTGCAAGCCCCAGGAGTGGATCCTGCTTTCTGCTTTGTTGGCAGATCATTACAATGTGGAAGGGAAAAGTGTTTGCTGGAAGCAGGAATTCAATGGGGTTTACAAAGAATGTTTTGTCCAGGCAGCTACTGGAGTCAATAAAGCTCAGTTTGGGCTGCATAAAGCTCTGCAGAGGTGAAAGTCTGAGTTCTGCTGAGTGTTGCCAGGCTGGGAATTTGGGGCTGGCATTCCTGGCTCCTGGCCAATGCTCCATGGAGAGCTGGGGGTACCAAGGGTAATGGGACAACCAGGGTTGTACGGGAACAGCTCCTGAGCACCCAGCCCATGGAAGTTGGGCCAAACTTGTTTGCCAGCATGTCAGAAG